ATTGCTGCTGCACAGGGTTTGAGAAGAGACACCCAGGACCCCAGACTGCTCAGTCCTACTCCCTGCTCCAATCCCAGCTCAAGGTCCCTCCCAGGACAACAACTATCTGCTTCTGCTCACATATGAAGATGGGAAGCAGCATCTCCCATCTGAATTCACCCAAAAGCCTCCTCCAAGAAGTCCTCCCTGCCATGCCCTGGATCCAGTCTCTGGGCTCTTCAGTAAGCTTCTTACAGAGTCATTAGTTCATGAGGCCAAAGAGGGAAAGGCAAGGGGATTCACTAACCGAGAACCTGCCTGTATGCTAGACCTCAGCAGATACCCACTCCCTACATCTCACTAAGCCTCATGCATTGCTATTATCAGCTCATCTTATATGTAAAAAAACAGATGCCAGAGTTGAAAGACTTGTGCCAGGGGCCACTTGCCTCTTCTGTCCTAGGACAGCTACCTTATGCCAAGCACACTTTCTGGGCACTCAGGGAAGGGGTTCTACAGGTTGGCCAGCAGACAGATCCATCCCCTCCCCAGGCTAGGCAGGTGAATAGGCCTTGGGCCAGCAACAGAGGAGGGCTGGGCTCAACCTGCTTGAGAGGAGTCCCAAGGGCTTCTGGGAGGAGGCATCTCCAGGCCTAATCCTCCTCTAGCCACAACAGAACAGCAGGCAAGCACGGTCCACAAAGCCCTGGCACCCTACAGGCAGCAAAGCAAGGGAAAGCCAGCTGCCCTGCCAATGACCCCACAGTGGCCAGGCCAGCTGGCCTCTAGTCCTGCCAACCTGGCCTAGCCTAGCCAGTTCTCAATCATAGCTAATGACCATGCTGCCTGCAGCCCAGGCCACCACCCTCCTTCAAATGACCACAGTGCTTCTGGCCCAGATATCAGCTAGGCCAAAATCACAGCTGCCTGTCCCACCACATCCTTTGGCCCTGTACTCTGACCTCTTCTGCCAGGGTCATGAAGGACACTGCAGAAGACTGGAGACACCGGTGCTGGGGCACAAAACAAGACATGGAGGAGCTGACTCACCACAAGCAATATACCCTTCCAGCTAGCACAGAGCCCAGGACCAAGGTTCCTTCCTGGGCCCTATACTCAGTCCAGCACTGCCATTCGTTGGCCTAGGAAACAAGGCTTGAGTCTAGGCTCATCATATGATAAGAACGCTTTCGGGGTACTGGATGGAGTTGAAGGCATAGAACATTTCCTAAAAGCTGACTAAGTGTCCACTCATCGACAGGGAGGAGCAAAGATTTCCAACTGAGACAGATGCAGGCCTGACTCCCTGTTCCTTGATGTTTAGCTGTAAGAATTTGGGCAAGACAGAGCACCTCTCTGAGCTCCAGTCTCTCAGCAAAAAGCCATTTTGCGGAGTTATCATAACAGATAGTGTCTAAAGTGCTTAGCACAGTATACAGTCCATCCTAAGTATTGAAGGGTATCAGCTATTACTAACATCATCATGGTAGAATTAAATGTACATGCATTTCCTAAACTGTAGAATACTATTGCTTTTATCAGCATATGTTTTCTGTGACGTGTTAAACATTTACAGGTGGCACCCCAGAGGGTTGTACAACCAGGAACATTTGGGGCAGGATTTGTGACCCAAAGTGGGCCAACACAGAGAGAGAAGTGAGCAGAGAAGGAGTGGGGATGTGGCCCAGACTACCCCACAAGCAAAAGGGTAGCTCAATGGTCACACATGGTGTGTTAAACAGACAGTGATGAGCAAGGAGCCTGAGTCCCCATTAGTGCCTATGGCAGGCAAAGGCCACACCCGAGGCCTGGTTCCCACTTCAGAGGGGCTCTGAGCAGGGCCTCCACTCCTCTCCCACCTGATTGCTCTGATTGTGAACCACTACCCCAGTATTACCCCTCCAGAATTCTCGCCCCTCCACCTACCATGCCATTTCAGTCCCAACACATACTGACTCCCCTGTGTGTTCACAGTGAAGCACTCCTTTATGACCCCCATTGCTGCCCGGTGTTTTATTAATGTGACCCTATGGTCACCCATAATGAACTTGAGAAGAGAGCCTCGCTATGCTGGTTTTACAGGGAGGAGAAAAAGTGGCCATGCATTGTCAGGTGTCTTGGCCTCCAGTCTCCCCTTGAGCAAGTGGCACAAGGAGGATTCCCCGAGGATCTCCCTGGCCACTCTCCGCTCTCTTTCCCCCCCATCTCTGGAATCTGAGGCCTACAGCTTGATCCTAGCTCAGCCACCTCTGCTGCCTATAGGTACCTCTCTCCCTCCAGCCCACCAACAGTAGAGAGCTGGGAGGAAAGTAGATCCATCTCTCCTTGTCCTGCTCCTCCGTACACACACACACACACGCACACGCACACGCGCACGCGCACGCGCACGCGCACGCACACGCACACGCACACACACACACACACGCACACGCACACGCACACGCACACGCACACGCACACGCACACGCACACGCACACGCACACACACACACACACACACTTACTGACACACACTCACACACTCACACACGCACACACTTACTGACACACTCTCACACACTCACACGTGCACGCTCAGCATAACCCAGACTGAGGTACAATCTGGAGCCACTGGCCTCCTCTGATGGGGCGGAAGCACAGCAGAGCACAGCTATTTCCCTAGCCTGCCTCCCAGTGAGGGGAATGATAAATTATTCACTGAGCCCTATGCTCAGAGAGGCCAGACAATGGCCTAAAGGGAATGGACACCAGCTCCTGCCCTACAGGAAGCCACAGTGGGTGTGAGGACTGTTAGGATCCAGAGCCCCTTACCAGTGTCCCCAAACAGATTCTAGGAGGCTTTGTAACTAGGGAAGGTGGCTCAGGGAGTCTGATCTTGCTTAGCAAGGGCCCAGCTAAGCAAGTCAAAGTTTCTCAGCCTGCAACAACCACTTGTGTTCTAACCTCAAGCAAGTTTGAGGATTTTCCAGACTTCCTGGTCAAAACTCCCGTTTCCTTTCTCCACAGGGAAGGAAATGGATGGTGACCAGGGGCTGTGTGTATCTGCAGCCCAGCTAATCTTGGTTGGAAGAGCCATTCCACACTCCCAGAAAAGCAGAGGGCTCAGAGGTTGACAAGGCTGTCCCATGGTAAGGAAGCAGGATAGGTTCATCACCACAGCCCCAACCGCTGGTAACTTAGCCTGCCGTCTGCCACTAAGCCCATCTGAGTAATTTCTACACCACCTGGCAGACAGCTGATGCTCCAATAGTTCCTGAAGCAAACTCAGCAAGCCTTGGTCAAAGATTTCACCTGTCTGAGCCTCAGTTTCCCACACCTGTTAGCCCCAAACAATAAGCCCATACTGGGCAAGCTCCACAACTCCTTAGTGCTCAACAGTTTGTCTACAGGATCCTCTGGTTATCTGAACTGGTGACAATGTTTTGCCCGCACCCCGCAGATGAGACATCAGGAGGCTCCCCGAAGCCCCCTGCTCAGCCTCACCTGAGGCTCCCAGATCTTCCCAGCACCCAGAGAAATGAGATCACAGGTGTGAAATTAGTTCATCAAAGGAGAGCTCTGTTTAGATCAAGGATTATTATGAGGATTTGGATCCTCAGGCAGAGGTGGGGGAGGGGGAATCCCAAGCCCCTTAGTTACCTTCTAGGCCCCCTGAATCCCCTCCAACCCCAGGAACAACCTTCTAGTCTTTAAGACCCTGCTCTATCTCCCAGGGGCTTTCCATGGTAGTTCCCCCAGACTCCAGGGAGCCTGGGGAAGTAGTAGTCCCAGCCAAGGCCACAGTGCCCAGACCAAGGCCATATGCCTCCCCCTCCCCACCCAGAACAAGAGCCCACAGAGTCTGTGCCAAATGTTCTTTCACAATACCTCTCTCCTGCACAGATCCAGAGGCAGTGAGAGGAACTTCTGCCTGGGAATCGAGACACCTGGACTGTGTCCCCAGACCTGTCCCCTAACCTTAAGACCTGGAGAAGTTCTCTCCTGGGCCAGAAGGGTCTTGCAGGTTCCTCTGCAGTAATAGAGACTGTGGCCAGGCCTGATCTGAACCCCAGTCCAACCACACACATGGTCACCCCAGCCACATACATGATCACCCCAGCCTCACACATATTCACCCCAGCCTCATACTGGGGGTATATTCACCCCAGTCACAAACTCCAAAGGTATGAGCTGGGAAGGGGCCAGGACCCCTGATGGATGTCTAGAAATCTTTCTCAGGTCTACTTCTGGCTCAATCACTCACTGGCCTTAGGGCCTTGGAGCACCTGTGCTTCCCCCAAGTCTTCAGAAGGCAAGGTGGGTGAGTTCTGAAGGGTCTACAATTCCTGCTTTCACATGGCTGTGGCATGGGAACCAACATGGTGAGTCCCTAACAGATAAGAATACTTCAGGAACTTGGGGCCCCTGACTCTGGGTAGCAGGTTGTCCCTCCAACCTGGACCACAGGAAGAGATCTTTTGATACTGGGAAGCTTCCCACCTCTGCCCTCAACGCTGGGTCGCTTTTCCTGGCAGGTGGCATGTCCATAATTCAGGAGTCACCGCTAAAGAGAAGTACCTCTTCAGCTTCAAGATCGATCAGTACTTGGATTTTGGATGTCCCCGTGGCCCCCATCTTGCCAATCTCCTGCTTGCAGGCTGTCTACTTCCTTTCTTCTCCCCTCCCTCTTTGCTCTTTCTCTATCTTCTCCCGTCTAATTCTCCTTACGGGGAGCAGAGGTCCTCAACCCTGTCACGACTTAGTTTCCCCTATCGGTCCGCGTCCATAACAATCACAACGGCTTTAATCTCAAGGAGGGATAGCACCGAGCTTTGGATAAGGAACAATTTGTGTGTGCAAGGGCGGGGCTCGGACCTGCACACAATGGGCACTCAATAAGTGCCGGTTTCTCTCTACTATCTTTTGCACGCCCTCTCCTAAATAGTTGAATCTCTGCGGGTGTCCCCTCCACGCCCTCCACTGACCGGGGCCCTGCCTCTCGGCTCCCGGGACCGCTCCCGCCGCGCATCCGGGGCTCTCACCTGCAATCTCGGCTCGCTGGAGACTGGGGCAGTAGAAGCCCCTGTGTTCTCTTTGGTGCAAGCACCCCCAAGTCCTTAGCCTCGGTCGGAGGAAGGTGGCAGCTTCGGTTCGCAGCACCAGACCAGGGGTTCAGTCTGACTGTTCTGACTGCTTGGGACCCCTCACGGTGCGCTGGACCCGGGAGGCGCCAGTACAGTTTCAAGTCCGGAGCAGTCCGGTCCAAGGCAGCTGAAGGTTTGGTTCTTCGGGAGCCGGAGGCCGGTGGGCGTCCCGGCTCCTCTACACTCAGGTTCGGAAGCTGGGACCACCTTGCGCGGACCGGGAACGGAGAGCACACGGGAGAAGATGGGCTGGTATGATAGGGCCGGGCGCGTCCCGCCTTGGAGCAGCAGATTAAGCAGCTGAGGACCACCGGGCTGGTAAAGTCCAGGCGCGGAACGCCGAACTCGGACCAGCAGGGCAGGGCAGGGCAGGGCAGGCTGGGAGCCAGCGGCCAGAGCACGGCAAAAAAGTCTGCCCAGGTCCCGACACGGCTCGCTCTGCAAATCTGGGCGGACCTAGCCCGACGGCG